AAACGGCAGAGGGGATACGAACCATAAGTAATTTCATCACCAAGTTCAATATCCTGTTTCGCATAAATAACAATCTTCTTCTCACCACTGATCGTGATGATTTTTGCCGTACAGTTAGGGTCACAAGAATGGTTGATCAGCCGCCTTTGATTCGATCCACACCCATCAGCTAACCACCAAGTAACACAAAACACCACATACCCCAGATTCCCTTTCTTAGTAGCATCAACCACAATCTCCTCATCGATCCTAAAAAGATAACTGCTCCCAATCCCCTGCCGCTCATACGCCTTCTCCCTCTTCTCCGCCACCTGCGCCCTAATCACCTCCCCAACATACTCAATAACCATCTCACCCCTCGATATCTTCTCCATCGCATACAACCCCCAATCATGGATCGGCGACCGCCCAAACCTCAAATGCTTCTTCCTCGTCTGCAGCTGGTTAAACTTGAACGTCAACTCACTCGCTGCGCTCTCCCCCTTGGACAACGCAACGGCCCGCTGGACTTGATTGATCTCCTCGAGCCCCTGCGCGCGTCTCCGCGCATTCGCGCGGTTAGACCGCGATGATGTGATGGGCTGCTGCTGCGGTTCTTCGGCCGCAGACGCGGCCTCGACTGATGCAGCTGCAGCGCGCGCTTGGTACTGCGCGACATACGCGGCCTTTTCGGCGTGTGTGATCTTGTAATAGCCCTCTGTACGCGCGGAGCCCGTGATGTGTTTACGGAACGCGGGTGTCTCGGGGGTATGGAGTTTCGGTTCGTCGGCGTCGGCGTCGTCGTCGTCGGCGGCGGCGGGGAATTGGTACCCACTGAGCGCGAGCTTGAGGAAGTAGACGTCTTCGTCGTCTTGGCATAACCCTGCGTTGTATGGGTCGAGAGGAGGCGTGACTAGGCGTGGACGGGTTGTTGGTGATTGTGAGCGTGACGAACTTGGCGTGATGTGGACTTGCGCGATAGAAGGAACGTCGTAGTCCTCCTCCGTCGTGGTGAACACGACATCCTGAACCGTCTCAAGCGTCTTCTTGAGCGTCTTCTTTGTCGTGGTCGTCGTGGTCGTCGTTGTCGTCGTCTTCTTCTTCGCCGCGCCCTTTTTCGTCTTTGTCGTCGTCGTCTCCACCTCAATCTCCACCTGCACCTTTTGCTTCTTACGCACAGGCATGACATCATGTTCCTGTTCCCGTTCCTGTTCCCGTTCCACACTCCTCTTCCTATCATCCCGCACCTCCTCCTCCGACTCAACCTCCTCATCCACAACCTTCCTACTAACCCTCTTCACAACCTCCTTCCTCTTCTTCCTCGGTCTCTCCCCATCCACCTCCTGCTCCTTCACCTCCACCGGCACCTCCACCTCCACCTTCGGCCTCGCCTTCCTAAACGACAGCCCCTTCAACCCCACACCCCCCGCACTCCCCATCCCCATCCCCTCCCCACCCCCACTCAACTTCAACTTCTCCCTCCCAATCGCCTCAACCATCCCCCTCCCCACCCTCCCCCTCATCATCTCCCCACTCCCCAACACCTCCTTCACATCCATCCTCAACACCGCCTTGAGCTCCTCCTCAATCTCCGCCTTGGCAGCCTCCACCAGCGCGTGCGCGTCCCACTTTTTGGTGTCGCGTGGACCGGAGGGAGAGCGCGCGGGCGCGGGGTGCACGGTTAGTGGGACGGATTGGTAGGCGAGCTTTTTGGTGCTTGAGTTGGAGAGGACGCGGGAGGCGCGCAGGGCTTGGTCCGGCGTTGTGAATGTTACGTACCACCCGAGGTGGTCTTTGAGGATCTGGGGTGGGGGGGTTAGTAGTAGTAGATAGAGAGAGAGAGAGATGATAAATGAGATAAAGAGATGGAAGGAGTGAGGAAGTGAGTAAGGCAAGGGGCAAAGAAAGCCCGAAAGAAAAGCAAAGACTCGACAGAAAGCTCGTAAGAACCAAAGCCCGTAAGAAAAGCCCAAACGCAAAAGAAACCCAAAGCCGGAAAGAAAGCCCAAAGCCCAGAAGCAAACGCAAAAGAAACCCAAAACGCGCAACGCACCAAATCAACCTTGAACCCGTCAAAAAACACACCGACATCCTCCTCCCTCACACCGCCCAACAGCCCAAACCTAACATGCTCCTTTCCATTCCTCGCCAGCATCTCAACAACACACTTGTGCCTCTCCTCCCTCTCCTCCCTCCTCTCCCTCTTTCCCTCCCTGCTTCTACTCCTACTCCAGCTCCTCTCCCTACTGCGACTGCGACTCCAGCCGCCCCTCCAACTCCTCCCGCGTCCGCGTCCCCTCGACCTGGACCTGGACGCGTCACGCTCCCCAGATGAACTGAACCGCCGGCCCGCGCGGGGTCTCCACGTATCCCGCACGCCGCGGTAATACGGCGGCGGCGTCGTCGACGCGGGGACATACGAGTCTACGCGGGCTCTGTCCCTGGTGCGGAACGCGCGCTCGCGCATAGGCTGGGCGCGCGTAGGAATCGGCGGCGCACCCTGCTGCTGCTGGAGTGCCTGTGCGATATTTGGATGGACGTTGGTTGGTGTCCCGGGAGACGCGGCAGCGGCCGTGACTGGTTTAGGCGGGAGTGTAGGGTGGAGTTGCTGTGGTTGTGGTGGGGTGCCCTTGCCCTCTGTGCGCGGCGTCTGCGTCGGGGGCACCCCCCTCTCCCTCTTCCTCCTCGCCTCCAACTGGCGCACGACGGCCTTGAGGATCCTCCCGTCTGGATCAAGGACTGCGCGGACCCTCTCCTCGTCGTCGGGCTGTCCCTGTGGGTCGGGTGCGCCTTGAAAGGCAACGCCAAACACGGGCCTGCGGCCGTCCTCGGCGCGGACGCAGCGGGCGGCGTCTTCCCAGGACGCAAAGCGGAGATGGAGGACGCCGAGGGGGGCGCCGTTTGCGCGGTTGGTCTGCCACTCGAATGCGGAGAGGTGGCCGTAGGTGCGGTAGTGGCTGCGGAGGACGGCGGGGGACGCGAGGGGGGGGAGCGCGGCGAGGACGACGGAGAGCGGCGGGGGCGTGGGGGAGTGGGCGTCGTACTGTCGAGAGTCAGCGCGGACACGCAGGCGGGGCAAGCAGACGCACCTCGTACGCTGTTTCGTGGAGGACCTCCCTGAACGGGCGGGCGAGGGCCAGCTTGGGGGTGCGGTCGCGGCGGGGGTCGCGGGGGACGGGCGGGGGCTCGGGCGGGGCAGACTCGGTGGCGGGCAGCACGTCGCCGTCGATGCGCAGGAGGGCCCTGGTCTTGCCCTTGATGCGCTTTGGGTGGTGGCGGCGGCAGTGCTCGGTCAGCGCGCGGTAGTATTTGACGTCCTTCTTCGGGTCTGCGAGCAGTGCCAGCGCGGCGTGGTTCTGCGCTGCCAGGGCGCTGGGAGCCGCCGGCACGATGCCCGCGCTGTCCTTTTCGGGCCTGGGCGGCGGCACAAAGTCCAGCTGCGGGTCGTACAGCACTTTGTACGTCCGCACAGACGGCGGGTACGCTGACAGCGGCGGCGGCCACGACGGCGGAGTTGGCGGAGTTGGTGGCGGCGGCGGCGGGGGAGGCGTCGGCTCTTCATTCGGCGGCGGGGGAGGCGTCGGCTCTGGCGGCGGGGGATCGTAATCAGGCGGCGGCGGCGGCGGAGATTCGGCATGAAAGACGTCCGGTCGCTGCAGCACCTTGGTCGGCGGCGCTGGGATCGCAATCGAAATCGCTGCCCGCGTCTCCGTCTCCTCGCGTCGTCGCCGGCTCCCCCCCAGACTCCGTGGCCCCGTCGGTATCCGTTGCTGTTGCTGGCTCGGCCCATACAGCGCTCGAGGGCCCTTGGGCGGCGCCTTGCCTGACATGCGGCCCCGTCCTGGTCGAAAAAAAATCACCGTGATGTGGATGGATCAAGTCCCAACAATTCTCCATTCCCTTTTGATCTCAGCTCTGCTGACACAGCAGCATGGCCCAGCTGGAAGCCCGCCCGGCCCTCACTTGATCCAAACAAGTTGATGCCGTCCATCCTCACTCTATAGCAGCGTCGCACGGCATCCTTCAATCATACAGGACGTCACTTGGTGCCAGGCGTACTGTGCTCCTCACAATCTCACCCTCTCACGACAGCTTACAACCCCAGCAGCATGCCGCAGCACCGCACCGCACGCGACTCGTATCATCTCGTTTACTGTCGTCCCGAGGCCACTTGTTCGATTCAAGTTGCTGCCATGGACCAGTCGTCATGGCTTATGTTCGCTTACACATGCGCCAGTGTACATCCACCTCACACCATCCATCAATTCAAAACCTACACCAAGCAGCATGGCGCAGCTGGAAGCGCGCGGGGCCCATATCACGCCACCCCGAGGTCACTTGATCGAAACAAGTTGCTGCTATCTTTGAATTTTAGTTTATGATTTTGATTGTCGTTTTAGTATTAGTTTACGGCGCACCGGTGGGGATTATAGAGTAGTTTCTAACTCTGTTTGTACTTTGGTCAACTCTTGCCAGTAAAACAGTACTGCTCAATCCAGATTTAATAGTGCTACGTTTGTTAATTCCTTTGCTTCAGGTTTTCTTCTAAGATATACTACGTACAGCAGCATGACGCAGTCTGGTAACGCACAGCCAGGTTTATATTTACCGCAACACCGAAGCCACTCGTTCGAATCGAGCTGCTGCTATTGTGATTGTCATGTCAGAAGTTTTTGCCTCTCGTTGATAGTGTTACGATTTGCTTCTTATTAGTTTTAGCTTCAGCGGTTATCAAGGTCACTATCATAGCGCGGCCTGAAAGTGTGGGACTTAAATATATGAGACTACATGGTCGGAACAGCAAGCAAGCCTGTACCCTCGCGTTCTTTACCATCGCAGCACTGCATGACTACTAGTTAAACGGCAACATGACGCAGCACCCATATCGGGGCTTCTGCCGCCTGAGTGACCTAGCCATTAGGTCACTCAGGCTTGTTTAAAAAACATCTACATCTATCTTGTCGGTGGTACGTTTGTTGATTCCTTTGCTTCATGTATTATTCTAAGCTCTACTACTGTACAGCAGCATGACGCAGTCTGGTAACGCGCGACTGGGGTTTATATTTACCGCAACACCGAAGCCACTCGTTCGAATCGAGCTGCTGCTATTGTGATTGTCATGTCAGAAGTTTTTGTCTCTCGTCTATGATAGTGCTATTTGCTTCTTATTAGTTTCAGCTTTGAGCTGTCGTTAAGTTGCTATCGTTCCGTGGTTCTCAGCGGCAGCGGCATAGGACAGTTTGAAAGTGTTGTATATATGAGATACTTGGTTGTGACAGCGAGTCAGCAAGCTTGTACCCTCGCGTTCTCTACCATCTTCAGCATCAGCAGCATCGCGTGTCTACTAGCAACAGCACCATGACGCAGCACCCATATCGGGGCTTCTGCCGCCTGAGTGACCTAGCCTTCAGGTCACTCAGGCTTGTTTAAAAAACATCTACATCTATCTTGTGGGCGGTACGTTTGTTGATTCCTTTGCTTCATGTATTCTTCTAAGCTACACTGCTGTACAGCAGCATGACGCAGTCTGGTAACGCGCGACTGGGGTTTATATTTACCGCAACACCAAGGGCACTCGTTCGAATCGAGTTGCTGCTATTGTGATTGTCATGTCAGAAGTTTTTGTCTCTCGTCCTTGATAGTGGTACGATTTACTTCTGATTAGTTTTAGCTTTGGGTTGGCATTAGGTCATTATCTTTCTGTGGTTCTCAGTGGCAGCGGCATAGGACAGTTTGAAGGCATGGGACTTGGATATTCGAGACAGTTGGTTGTGACGGCAAGCAAGCTTGTATCCTCGCGTTCTTTACCATCTTCAGCATCAACAGCACTGCATGTCTACTAGCAATAGCAACCATGACGCAGCGCCCATATCAGGGCCTGCCGCTGGGTCATTTGTTTGACCAAGTTCAAGGCGTTGCCCCCCAAAAAATCGAACAATTCTTTTGTAAAATCGCACCTAGTCAATCAAGATTTCATTCACCGAAAAAACATCTACACTATCTTGTGGGCGGTACCATGTATTCTTCTAAGTTACACTGCTGTACAGCAGCATGACGCAGTCTGGTAACGCGCGACTGGGGTTTATATTTACCGCAACACCGAGGCCACTCGTTCGAATCGAGTTGCTGCTATTGTGATTGTCATGTCAGAAGTTTTTGTATCTCGTCTATGATAGTGTTACGATTTGCTTCTGATTAGTTTGAGCTTCGAGCTGGCATTAGGTCACTATCCTTTTTGGTTCTCAGCGGCAGCGGCATAGGACAGTTTGAAAGTGTGGGACTTGGATATTCGAGACAGTTGGTTGTGATGGCAAGCAAGCTTGTATCCTCGCGTTCTCTACCATCTTATACTCTTAAACAGCAAAATGACGCAGCGCCCATATCAGGGCCTGCCGCTGGGTCATTTGTTTGAATCCAAGTCCAAAAATCAAACAACTCTTTCGTAAAATCGCACCTAGTCAATCAAGATTTCATTCACTGAAAAAACATCTACACTATCTCGTGGGCGGTACCATGTATTCTTCTAAGATATACTACTGTACAGCAGCATGACGCAGTCTGGTATTGGCTGGGGTTTGTATTTACCGCGATTTAACAACCCCAAAGCCACTCGTTCGAATCGAGTTGCTGCTATTGTGATTGTCATGTCAGAAGTTTTTGCCTCTCGTCTATGATAGTGATACGATTTACTTCTTATTAGTTTTAGCTTCAGCGGTTATCAAGGTCACTATCTTCTTATGGTTCTCAGCGGCAGCGGCATAGGACAGTTTGAAAGTGTTGTATATATGAGATACTTGGTTGTGACAGCGAGTCAGCAAGCTTGTACCCTCGCGTTCTCTACCATCTTCAGCATCAGCAGCATCGCGTGTCTACTAGCATAACGGCAACCATGACGCAGCACCCATATCGGGGCTTCTGCCGCCTGAGTGACCTAGCCTTTAGGTCACTCAGGCTTGTTTAAAAAACATCTACATCTATCCTTATGGGCGGTACATTTGTTGATTCCTTGCTTCATGTATTCTTCTAAGCTATACTGCTGTACAGCAGCATGACACAGTCTGGTAACGCGCGACTGGGGTTTATATTTACCGCAACACCGAAGTCACTCGTTCGAGTCGAGTTGCTGCTATTGTGATTGTCATGTCAGAAGTTTTTGCCTCTCATTGATAGTGTTACGATTTGCTTCTGATTAGTTTGAGCTTCGAGCTGGCATTAGGTCACTATCCTTTTTGGTTCTCAGCGGCAGCGGCATAGGACAGTCTGGACGTGTGGGACTTGGATATATGAGACTACTTGGTCATAACACTTCGAATTTTCATCATAGCTTATTTCAAAGACATCTAGATTAATCTTGTACAAGTATTGATTTCCAGCACAAACTGTCAAATAACATTGTATCAATCCGTACGAAGCCTTTCCTGTCCTGGCTCTCTGCTCATCAACAACTCCTGGCCCCACGCTTCTAGTTCCTCCAATCGCCGTTCATTCGCCTCAACACAATTCCTTTGCAGTGTTGACATCGTCGATTGAAATCGTTCCTCTCGATCTTCTTGCGCCCTCCGTGCTTGGGCATTTCTTTCCATCTCATCTCGGAGAAAATCCTCTTCTCGTTTACGTTCGTTAGCTTGAAATTCGGATTCACGACACTCCTGAGCATCCTGGAATTCAGACTCGCGTGATTCCTCAGCCTCGTCAAAGTCTTCCTTGCGTTTCTGTTGAGCTTTCATGAACTCGCCGCCACGTTTGGCCTCGTTGATTGTGTGAATGCGGTTCCGGTCATTTGCACCTTTCTTGAAAGCTTTGGCTCTGAGTTTCTGTGACTCCTCAAACTCTCCGTGCATCCTCCTTTGCCCACTAATCCGTTGAGATGTGTTGCTGTTGGCACTAACTGCAATATGGGGTATGGGAAGTGCATTTTGAACGAAAGCACCTGCTCTGAACAATGCAGATGGCGTCTGTCCTTATGATCAGTGTTTCAAAAGAAGATTAGAGTGGATGCTGTAACAACTCACAAAACTCGCATCAGCTCTATACAATGGCGTCTGTCCTTATGATTAGTGTTCCAAAAGAAGATTATAGTGGATGCTGTAACAACTCACAACACTCGCACCGGAAGCCACATTTCGCCGGTACAGCGGCTTATAAGACGTCTTTTCACCCAAGTCTTCTTCATATCCTGCTGGTGAGCCTGCAACACGCTCAGGACTCTCATGGTCCCGATCTTCATACATTGAAAGACGTCCCATAACACGTTCAACAGAATCCAGTAACCAATTTGACAACATTGTAACATAGGAAGAGGTGAGTTGACGGTGACTTGCATCAGCGAGTTGATTGGCTTGACTTTTGTACAACGCCAATAGCATGCCCTTCTGACGTTCGAACCAAACCTCCTCTAAATCCGCCTCTGCGTCGGCTTGTCTTATGATGTGCGACAATGACATGTTGAATACCTGGGAGTATTGTTGCTGGGCAGCCTTGAAGGCAGTTGAACGCCGATTGCTGCCCCTCGATCGTTCTTCTTCTCGACCATGAAATTGCCTCACCCGTGACTCCTTCCATCGCAACGACCTGTGAGACCACTGCAGTATTTTTTGCTCAAAGGTACCACTGCGTTGTGACTCCCTATTATTCCGTGTAGCTTCTGATGCATGAAATCTATGCTCCCTTTCGCTTTCATCTTTTAAGAATGTTTCTTGCCGCTGATTTTGGGAGTGTGTAAAGGATGTGTAATGGTTGTTGTCCACGACTTGGTCTAATTCATTTGTGTTCTCTTCAAGATCGCCCTGTTCAGTGAGAGAATGGAGAGGTTCCTCCTGTTGATCATGGGATTCAGTAGACGTTGACTGTATCGAGAGATCGAAGGGACTTTGAACACTAGAAGAATCAAAAGGGTCTCTTAGTAATACAGGGCTTGTAGGCAGAGTCCGTCCCAATGGAGGTGATTGTGGAGGGTCGACTAAGGAGGGGATATCGTCATCGTCTAGATCCAACGCTGGCTGTATCAATTTATCGGCGACACGAGTTGGAGAAGAGTTCCCACTCGTAGGTACCGACAAAGGAGGTGACGTGGTGAGTATTCGCCAAAGATACACGGGTTCCCTGGATGTAGGCAAAGAGATGAGTGAAATTGAGTGCAATTTGGGTGACGAACGCTCACACTCTTTTCATCAGTTTCTCAAATTGTTCAATCAAGGCAGCATTCAGAGCGGCACATTTGTCTTTCAGTCTCTGACGACCGTCGCCCACCAGCTCCTGTCGCGCTGCATTATACCACTCTGCTCGCTTACCACGCATCTCTTGGTCAATTTCAAAAGCGCGTGCATGGTCTGTCTGTCCCTGAGCAAATATGGCTTCCCGAGCTGCTTCAGCTTTTTGAAATCTTTCTTCTTGAAGTGCGTCGGTTTTATAGCACAGTTCTTGTCGTCGTAGTTGCTTTTTGAAGAAGATAGCACTCAAGTCTGTTATCATACAATTGAATTTGTCCTCTCGTGTTTGCTCTCCAGCTGACCGGACCTCCTCCTCTGCTTCAAACTTGTGCTGGAAGTCATGCAGGCTCTCTTGGAAGATGTTGTCACGTTGCGCTTCGGAGAGCGTGTATTCCTTTTCGCGCATTTCGGATGTCTCTAAGGTCACAGGCAGTGTAGGACTAGTCTGGTGAGTCGTTCCTCGAGACAAGAGCTGCCTGCTGACTATCAGTACAAGTTCCACTTGAATTCATCATTATGTAGCTCGTTGGGATACAGACCTTAGGCGTGACATGTTTCCAGGTTGAGTCCGACTCCGTATGAGATGACTTGCAAGTAATGGACGAGCTGATTCAATGATTGATATTCAAGTTGTCCTATTTAATTTCCCAGCTGCGTAACTCTGGGAACTCGTAGCAGCTGTTTCCATGACACAGCAACCGCACTGCTTTTGATGCGATTATCCCAGCAAAACAAGTTGCTGCTAGAGTTATCTTTTGGTCAAATCAAGTTGCTGTCCTGGCCGGCATGGCGCAGCCACTTGTTCAAATCAAGTCGCTGCTATGGCAAGTTATCACGTTCAGTTTTTTGTCACTAGTGCTCGAGGCCACCAACGCAATATCACCGTTTAGTACCATCAACTCTCAACTCCAAATACAGCGGCATGGCACAGGCTGGAAGCGCACCGGGTGATGTGTCCCCGATGTCACTTGTTCGAATCAAGTTGCTGCTATGATCTGTTCCTAGAGAACCTCTTTTGCCTTGCGCGAGTGCCCTCTTCCATTCTCAGTCTATCGCATACACACACAGCAGATAACAGCAGCGTCGCACACATGGGACGGCACCACATCCTCGTCGATCGTCATCGATCATGCCCGAGGTCACTTGTTCGAATCAAGGTGCTGTTATAATTACCGAAGGTCGGATTTTTTGTGACTTGCCAGTAGTCCAGGCGTACTGTGCTCCGCGTATAGACTCACAATCTCACCACTCTGGACTCTCCTCATCCTACCACACAATAGCTTCCAAGCCCAGCAGCATGGCGCAGCACGGCAGCGCACGGGACTTGTATTATCCCAGTGAGAGGTTCATGTACACCAAGTCGTCCCGAGGCCACTTGTTCGAATCAAGTTGCTGCTATGGGCCAGGCATCATGCCGGATTTTTTGTGTCTCTCCCGGTCGAGTTAAGCACATCCAACCGACTCGGACTCGGACTCGCAAAATCAAAATCTTGTTCAAATCAACTTACTGTTCCTTATATGCAACTTGCCACGCGTACATGTCTGGGTTTCGCCACTCATTCCATCTCCCGTCTAGTATATATATGCCAGGTGTACATCCACGCTCAATCTCCGACCTTCACACCATCCATCAATCCAAAACACATATCGAGCAGCATGGCGCAGCTGGAAGCGCGCGGGGCCCATATGTCTATACTTTGCGACCCCGAGGTCACTTGATCGAAACAAGTTGCTGCTATTATTGAATTTTATATTATAAACTTTCAATTTTAGTTTATGTTACCCCTTGGCGTGCGCCTTGAGGCTTATTCAACTTTGCTGTACTGTGTGTCTTGCCGTTTGTCATTTATTCAACACTTACCAGTAGAACCATACTGCTCATACCAGATTTAAACATCTATTCTTGTCAGTGCTACATTTGTTGATCCCTTTGCTTCATCTGTTCTTTTGATGACTTGAACCTATACTGCTGTACAGCAGCATGATGAATTGTACTGCTCAAACCAGATTTAACCATCTATTCTTGTCAGTGCTATGTTTGTTGATTCCTTTGCTTCATGTATTCTTCTAAGCTATACTATGTACAGCAGCATGACACAGTCTGGTATTGGCTGGGTTTGTATCTAATGCAACACATGTACATGCAAGTTTAACAACTCCGAGGCCACTTGTTCAAATTGAGTTGCTGCTATTGTGATTGTCAGTCATGTCAGAAGTTTTTGCCCCTCTGATATGTAGTATTTGATAGGTCACTTGTCCATGAGAGTGGTACAATTTGCTTCTTATTTGTTTCACTTTGAGCTGGCATTAGGTCACTATCCTTTCTGTGGTTCTCAGTGGCAGCGGCATAGGACAGTCTGAAAGTGTGGGACTTGGATATACGAGACCACTTGGTCATGACAGTTTGAATTTTCATCCTAGCTTATTTCAAAGATATCTGGATTGATGTTGAGTAAGCATTGATTTTTAGCACAAATTGTCAAATAACATTGTATCAATCCATACGAAGCCTTTCCTGTCCTGGCTCTCTGCTCATCAACAACTCCTGGCCCCATGCTTCTAATTCCTCCAATCACCATTGATTGACCTCAATGCAATTCCTTTGCAGGGTTAAAATTGTCAATTGAAATTGTTCCTCTTGATCTTCTTGTGCCTTCCTTGCTTGAGCATTTCTTTCCATCTCATCTCAGAGAAAATTCTGTTCTAGTTTACATTTGTTAGCTTGAAATTGGGATTCATGATGCTCCTGAGCATCCTGGAATTCAGACTCATGTGATTCCTCAGCCTTGTCCCCTTTTCATCTCAACTCTGCTGACACAGCAGCATGGCCCAGCTGGAAGTGCGCACGGCCGTCACTTGATCAAAACAAGTTGCTGCTAGAGTGGTTGTTTGCATCCCACTTGTTCAAATCATCTGTTTCTAGAGAATCTCTTTTGGCGCGTATCCACAGCAGACAACAGCAGTGTCGCACACATGGTACAGCACGGCATCCTTCAATTGTCCATGACGTCACTTGTTCAAACCAAGGTGCTGCTATAATTACCAAATGTCGCATTTTTGGTGTTACTCCAGGCGTACTGTGCTCCTCACAATCTCACCACTCCCAACTCTCCTCACGACAGCTTACAACCCCAGCAGCATGCCGCAGCACTGCACCGCATGCGACTCGTATCATCTCAGTGAGAGGTTCACTGTCGTCCCGAGGCCACTTGTTCGAATCAAGTTGCTGCCATGGGCCAGTCATCACGGCTTATGTTTGCTTACACATGCGACTTGATACGTGTACATGTCTGGGTTTCAAGTTTGACCGTGCCAGTGTACATCCACCTTACACCATCCATCTATAATATATGGGACGACTCCTGGGAATGTGGCTGTGTGCTCAATATATGCGATGACTTTGGATTGTGCTGACTAAAATTTGTCAGCTGCTGACCAAGAACCTTCCTTTTTGGGCAGCTTGGCTGTTTTTCGCACTTGGAACAGGTTTTTTCCAAAAAAAATTATAGTATACAACTTTAGTGAATATATACTATCTTTTGACTATGTGTGAAACATGCCAAACAGCCTGCACGTGTGAAACAGGCCAAATGCAATAGAGTATTTACTGATGAAGATGTCTATGACTATTGTCCAGGAGAAGAGAAAATCTTGCAGAGTGCAGATTCTGTCATATCTGATGATGGAAATCCTAATGGCCTTGCATTGTATCCAATGGAATACCTCAACTCTCTCAGAGCCAGCAGTTTGCCTTTGGCTAAATTTGTCACAACCCGCTCCCTAGACACTGCTCCCAACCCCTCCCGATTTTCTGTCTAACTCCCCTGAACCCCACCCACACTTTTGCACCCACACTGGATAACTCCGACGCTTCTCTGGCAAACCCTGACGGCAACTCCAACTCCCTCTCCATAGCCATCAACACTCCCCCTGAAACCTTCCCCCACCGTTCCTGGCCACGTCATACATCCCCAACCCCCTACCCTAGTTTACCCGACCTGTCCCGGAGTATCACGATGTCCCCGGAGCGGCCATGCCCCCAACTGATCCCATCAGAATACCGCCGCGGCCTGACCTTGGATTGTACCTGACACCCGTCGACTCTGCGTAGCTCTGTCGACCCCCGCCACCATATCCGCTGCCCTCTGAGGTACCCAGTAGTCGGTATATAAGTCATAGAATAACTCCTCGAACTTTAGTCTTGATATTACATTTACTGGTTTCCTATGTTTTGTCTCTCGTCTCATCTCTATTCCTGTTTTTAAGTTTCGAATCTGTCTTTTTCCTCAGTCTCGTCTCGTCTCCGTCTCATCTTGACTGTACATATTTTCTTTGTTCTTCTAAGTTCCCCTTGCTCCCTACATCAGTACGAACTCCACATACGTGCCACGACCCAAACATTCTTACGACAACTCTGACCCTCGCTACCCGCTCGGCCCTGGAACCCATCAAGCCCTGGTAATCCCCTATCCAGCTCCGACCCTGCCCCCATCACCCGGGAAGCCTCTGCTTACCCCGCAATCTATTTGCGCGCCCACAAACTAGCCCTGACACCTGCCCTGAGTCAACGACCAGGACCCCCTCGCAAGCTTTCCCCACCTCCGCTCCAACTCCGGACACCTGGTTATAAGCGCAGGACATCATGTCTGCCTAGTAAGGACTCGCCAGTGTACTGAGCCCCTGTCATCAGTGGAACCTGACATAATATCAAGACTCCCCCTTACCCCATTCTCGATGTCTGTGTTTAACCCCGCGTACAACCCCATCGATTACCCGACCGACGCATATGGCCAGCCCCTACTGGAAAATTTCTATGCCCCATTCTACCCGGGTCCCTTTGCGGACCAATACGTGCCCCGTCACTGGACCCCTGACCCCAACCAGGCGTTCTACACCCCCTCCATCAGTCAGGGAATACTCTCAGGCTGGCACTGCCCTCCCGCATTCCACGCCGATGGCAATAACCCCTGTATCAACCCCAGAGGATACTCCGCAGCACCCCCCAACCCTGCCTACCTCCCCCCCCCGCCCATTACTATGCGTACTCAATCCCTGCTGCAGCCCCAGTCCCTCTGGAGGCCACGGATAACTATTCCCCCCCCCGCCCACCATTCGCAGCTCAAACCCCTCCTTCTCCTAGGCAGCAAAGGGTCGAAGCCTATGCCCAGCAACGCAACAAAGTCCTCCGCTTCCTCCGCCTGTCCCCCGCGGAATTTGCAAGGCGTACCCGCACCCTCCTCACCAACCTAGGCTACCCCAATGCCTCTGCAACTCCAGAGGTCTGGGCGGATCGACTCCTCAACTTCCACAAACGCTACCTGCAAGGAAACCTCCCGGAGAATATGCAAGGCACCCTGGGCATCGACGACAACTTACGGAACGAGCTCCACGCCTTGGTCAAAGAAATCCACACTAGCCCGAACCCCTGCCCCTTTGAAGACCCTCTGGATCCCACCTGCTCCTTCTACGTGCAACGCAAGGAACCCGTCGGGACACAAAACGAAGCCCCATCTTCCGTTCCCCATCAGCAGGAAGAACTCAACGCGGCCTCCAGCATCTTGAGGAACCTCAACCCCGCGGGGGGGTTGTTCAACCAACCCGCCACCCACACCTTGGCTCTCTCTGCCAGGCCCCAGGCCAGCTCTGTGCCCAGCACCTTCCAAACCTGGGACCAACCCACCACCCCCAAACTCCATTCCCAACAACCGCCCCTACGCGTCGATGACGACAACAGGACTCTCTCCTATATCAACGAGCTGGGCAACCCTGCCGACGAACACGCCCCATGCAATGGGCCTCAGCAAGACTGACCCCCCCACTTTGATCTCCGTGCCCCTTGTATCAATGCCCCTCTGCCCCATCCCAACGCCCCAGTTCCCCCGCAACAGCCCATGGGCCCCAGGGCACCCCGACCCCCTTTTTCCGCCAACCCCTCTTGTCCCCCGCCCGCCCTGATGCCTAATCCCCCCACCGACGCCAACTATTTCGGACCCCTGACCCCCAGAGGACCCCCTCCCCCTCGATGGGCCCCAGGACCCGCCCCAGGTAGCGTGGGTCAAAACCCCAGTGGAGGACCACCCAATGGCGGACCCCCAGGAGGATGGGGCCCAGCGATGGACAACTTTCCCCCCTAGCGTGGAAACGGAAATCACTACTACTACTACTACTACTACTACTACTACTACTACTACTACTACTACTACTACTACTACTACTACTACTACTACTACTACTACTACTACTACAAAGCCGGACCCCCACCTCGAACTCAAAATTCACAGGACAATACCCACAACGCACTGGCCCAGGAGGGTAAGCTCGACATCCAGAAGCCCGAACCCTTCACCAGCTGCGACCCTCAGAAGTGGCGAATCTTCCTGACTCAGTGTTTAACTATGTTCCAAGCTAAGCCCATCACTTTTCAGCTTGAGAGCTCATGAGTAGCCTTCGCCGCATCATACTTACAGGGCATTGCCTTCGACCACTACACTGCGCTACTCCGGTTCGACCCAAACAATCCCATACTCTCCAATTGGCTCGCTTTCACCCAAGAGTTCTCGAGTAAGTTTGGCATCTTTGACACCGTAGCGGAGGCGGAGGAAAATCTCTTCAACCTCTGAATGCGCGACAACAAACGCTTCATGACCTTCATCGTACAATTTGAACGAGAGGCCTACAAGACCAGCTGGAATTACAACGCCCTCCAGTTCACCCTCTGTCATGCCCTACCCCAATGGA